TAAAACAGCCTCTGTGGGTCCTGCCAGCCCCCCGGGGGCGCCGTGCCCAATATAGCCCAGCCCCCTCCCATGCACCCCTGGAAAGCCGCTGTGGCTGGAATACATGCGTGTGCACACACAAGACCCCGGGTCCAGACGTGTGCAGACCTCCACCCTTCCACCCCGATGCACACTTGCAGGCGTGCGTGCACACAGATGTGTCTGCCCGCCCCCCCATCCCCAGCCCAGGAGCAGGACCCTCACGTCCCCCTGCCGTGCCCCTTTGCAGGAGGCAGCCATGGCCACGCTGTACCCCTCGCTGGAGGACATGAAGGTGGATCAGACCTTGCAGGTAAGAGCCTCGTACCCAGGGAGGCTGGTGGGGCTGTGCCTGTTTGCAGCCAGCGGCAGATGGGCTCCCCCCGAGGGCTGGCGGTCCCCTCCGGCCACCCTGGAAGTTGCCAACCCTGCTTCTCTCGGCACAGAGTCAGGTGAACGCAGCTGCCAGGGCTCCGGCGCCCACTGCAGACAACCGGGCACTGCCCAGCAACACCAGTAAGTCGCAGCTGGACCCCGCTGGTCCGTGGGGCCCCGGGTGGTGCAATCCCAGGCTGGGAATTTTTTTTGCTCCTGTCTGATGAGGGGGATCGCTTTGCCCTGGGGGAGCAAGGGGTTAATCGCATCTGGGTGCCTGGGGGTGGGCTGGGCACTGGCATAGAGGCAGCTGGTGCCACGAGTCCTGGGCAGGGGGCTCAGTGCTCCCACATTGGGGGCTGGGGAGTGGTTGCTACCCCTGCTAAGGAGCATTACCTGCTGGATGTGGCCATGCAGCCTCCCCCGGGATGCCCGGTCCAGCTCTGTGTGACCCACCTCTGCCCTGCACAGACCCCGCGCCGGTGCTGTACCCCAACCTGGCAGAGCTGGGGACCTACATGGGCCTCTCCCTCGACAGTGAGGAGGTGCAGAAGACCCTGGAGCTGGTGCCAGCCAGCAGCGTGAGTAGGCGCCTGCCGAAAGCAGGCATCCGCGTGCCTATCTGTCTGTCAGTCATGGCTCACGCCCCAGACCCTGCCCCACAGCTGTTGCACTGCTGACACGACCACCGAGGCCCTGTGCCGGCAGCGCAGCTGGGCCTGGCAGGGGTGGCTCCTTGAATAGCAGGCTCTCCAATGCAATGCCACCCTTCACCCCTTCGTTCCCAGCCCCGAGCCTGTGCATGGTCCCGGTGGGAAGGAGCTGAGCCTCTGCACCGAATCGTAGCCTCCTGGGCTGGTGCACAGCCAGGGCTGCTCGCTCCGGGGCCGGCCAGACCCCTCCTACCACCCTGCCTGCCCCAAGGATGGGAGCAGGCAGGGGCTGGCTGCCACCCCTGGCTACGTGAGCTCACGGCCCATTCTCCCGCAGGCGGTGGCACCGGTCCCTTCTGCCCACGGGCAGGTGGTGGCACCACTGAGCGGTTGCAGCCCGGGCATGCGCCGGGCAGAGATCAAGCCGGGCTTGCGGGAGATCCACCTGTGCAAGGACGAGCATGGCAAGACTGGGCTGCAACTGAAGAGCATCGACCAGGTGGGTGCAGGCAGATGGCTGGGTTGCTGGGACCTGAGTCCAGGCTGCTGCTAACACCTTTGCACCTGCCCCATGGTCCTCTGCCTCAGTTTCCCCACTCCACAGCTTGGCTTCCTTCAGCGGAAGGAACCCAGCAAGCATCCCTGTGCATCTGCTAGAGCAGGCTCTGGTGTGCGGCTGGCTCTGGGGTGGAGCACCGAGCCACTGAGAGGCTGGCATAGGGCCCACTGCTCCGCCAGCAAGTCGGGGTCTGGCTGCGGGGTGTACGAGGGGCCTGGGACCCAGTGCCGCCATCTCCTCCTCCCCAGGGTATGTTCGTGCAGCTGGTGAAGGCCAACTCGCCGGCGTCACTGGTGGGGCTGCGCTTCGGGGACCAGGTGCTGCAGATTGAGGGCAAGGACTGTGCAGGCTGGAGCAGCGACAAGGCACGCCGGGCCATGAAGAAGGCCTCGCCCGAGAAGATCGTCATGATCGTGCGGGACAGGTGAGCGGGCGGCGCTGGGGCTTGTGCCCCAGGGTGGAGTGGGGCTGGGGGTCCTGCCCAACCTGCCCTGTGGGGGTGACATGGTGCCTGCCTGCCCCTCAGGCCCTTCCAGCGCACGGTGACGATGCACAAGGACAGCGCAGGGCACGTCGGCTTCGTGGTCAAAAAGGGGAAGATCGTCTCGCTGGTCAAAGGCAGCTCGGCCGCCCGCAATGGCCTCCTCACCAACCACTACCTCTGCGAGGTCAACGGCCAGAACGTCATCGGGCTCAAGGTAGGGCCCCTTGGGCCCCCGTCCACCTGCGCCGTGCTCTGGGGGCAGGACGCTTCCAGTTAAGCTCCTTGCAGTTAGCTCTTGGAAAAGCCCCCGGGCAAGTGGCTCCCCATCCCGCCTGGCCCCAGCACCAGGGAACCTGTATTTGGTGCACTGCAGCGAGCCCAGGGTCTGGTGAGACTGTCCCCCACGCTCCCCATGACATGTCAGGGGGGTTTAAGCCTTCCTCAGAGGGGCTGGGTGCTGGTGCAGCCCAGGCTGGGACTGGGGACTGGGCTGTGCTAGTGCTCCTCTGGCACCAACCCCGCAGGGTCCTGGCTGGAGGGTCTTGGCTCAGACCGATGCTGCACTGGGGGCAGGAGGGGATTTTACCCCGTGGTCACATTGGTATGGACTGGGGGAGTTTTGCCTTCCTCTGCAGTGGGGCCACTGACAAAGGGACATGCGTTTGAATCCTTGCCAGGCAAGGGAGCCCGGAGACTTGGCTTCCAGGTGCCTTGTGCTCTAGCTACTGCCTGGTTCAGGCTAAAGCCTAGGAGGGGTGTCCTCCCTGCCCCAGCACCAAACCCCCTAGTTGCAGGGCTCTGGCCGACCGTGATTTTGGGGTGCAGACACACACATGCATCCACGTTGGGCGTGCGGCTGCCTGGTCCGTGTGCAGCTTCCTGTAGGTGCTTGCATGCCCACAGTGCAGGGGTAAGAGCACCACAGCCAGGCGCCAGCCACGGAGGTGCCCCAAGGGGAAGGGTCTGTGACAGCTCCCCCTGTCTCCCTCGCTGCAGGACAAGCAGATCACGGACATCCTGGGGACAGCCGGGAACGTCATCACCCTCACCATCATCCCCACGGTGATCTACGAGCACATGGTCAAAAGGTGAGGACCCCCACCCCCCGGGCTGTGCTGGAGGGCAGCGTGGATGCCGCAGGGCATGCTGCTGCATCCCGTAGTGCCCACGGGCATTTCACCCTCTGCATCCTGCATGATACAGCAGGGAGCTGCTTGGGGCTGGGACCGAGCCCTGGGGCTTAGCACGGGGCCACAAATGAAGGGAGAGGCTGTGTCAGGTCTTCTGCCCCCACCCCAAGCCCTGCGCGCATGATGCCCCTGCCCAGAGGGTGCTAACCTGTGTCCCTCCATTGCACTAGGCTGTCGCCCAGGCAGGTGAAGTCCTCCATGGATCGCTCCATTCCCGACCTGTAAAGCCAGGTGCCCTGCTCCGGCGCAAAGAGACGGACGGCTCGCTTCACCTGGAGACTCACCGCCCCACGGCCTGGGCAGGGGAGCAGGGTGGGAGGCTGAAAGAGAGACCCCAACGATGTGGGTAGAAACCCAGCCCAGCCTGCCGGCACCCACACTGCTGCTGCGTCCACGCTCCACGGCAGGGGGGAGCGGGTGCAGATCTCTCCGTCTAGGGGACAGGGCTCAGGGGTGGCTCTAGGGTGCAGGGCCCTGGCGCCAAGCGTTGCACGGATGCCACGCGCACGAAGCTTGAGTCCAAACTGGGGACCCGACTCAGGCTGGGGGGGTGCCAGGGGGCCTTTACCTACAGTCAGGGCAGAGAGCAGCGAGCCTGGCAGCACTCATCACGCTGCACCCCATCCCATGCTGCCTTCTTGGTCCCTTTGCCTGGGCAGTGGTCATCACCCCGTGCGATGCAGGCCCCCAGGCCCAGAGCCCCCCACTTCCCCCCTGGCCCCTGCTGTTCCCCAGCTTCAACCCAGCACTGAGTCCACCCCTGCCTGATCCGTTCGGTCGCCCCCTCCGCGCTGCCGCGAGTGGGGCCAGGGGTGCACCCGCCGGCCACGAGAGCACCCTGGGGAGACGACCCCCAGCCCCGAGGGAAAGCAGACACGGCAGAGACCCACTGACGTTTATTGCAGCCACCGACAGACAGAGATTACAGGACGATGGAAACGAGAGGAGCGGTTACAGCTTGGAACGTCTGTATTTAAAAAATATAAGATCTCGATCTCTCTTTCAAACAGAACCGGACATTGGTTTCCTTGGCCAAGCTTTGGGGAGTCTAACAGACACGCACACAGACCCACGAGCACATTGCACAAGAGGCTCAGCTCACCTGCTTCTCCCCCAAATACTTTATATTACAACGCCGAGCCCGAGGTGCTCTCGCCCCAGGCTGAGCGCCTGCAGCCCGAGGGGCCTGAGCTGTGGGGGCT